CAAATAAATTGAAAGAATTCATTAAGAATATTCTTTCATGCCAAAGATACATCATTGTTCTTGATGACATTTGGGACATTAATGCTTGGATGGCTATAAAATATTCTTTTCCTAGGCAGAGTTTTGGTAGCCGTATAGTTATCACAACGAGGAATAGTGAAATTGGTGCCTACACAAGTCACGAATCCCAAGGCGTTGTCTACCCTTTAGAGCCATTGTCTCATAAAGATTCATGGATTTTGTTTTGCAAAAATATATTCTCTGATGGTTCATGTCCTCCACACTTGGTGAGCATTGCTGAAAACATCTTAAAGAGATGTAATGGTCTACCCCTAGCGATTGTGGTGATAGCTGGGGTGTTGGCTACAAAGAGTGAGAGCATTGAAGAATGGGAAAGATTCCAGCACAGTCTCAACATCCAAATGGAAAGCAATAATTGGATGAAGAGCATGGAGAATCTACTTTCCCTTAGTTACTATGATCTACCATATTATCTCAAGTATTGTTTTTTATACTTGAGCATCTTTCCTGAAGATGTCATCATCAACAAAAATATAGTGATTCGACTATGGATTGCAGAAGGATTTGTTAGGGAAAACAACAAACAAGTAAAAGAAGAAGTTGTTGAAGCCTATCTAAATGAATTACTTTCTCGAAACTTAATCATACTTGTTGAGAAGGCTTTAGATGGAAGAATGAGGGGATTTCGAGTGCATGATATTTTGCGAGAAATTATTCTTTACAAGTCAGTAGAGCAAAACTTTACCATCATTGCCACTGGGCAAAACACAGAATCATCCAATAATTTTCGACGCCTAGCAATTCATGAGTTTGATGACAACATTCTGAAGTGCACTTCATCAAAAATGCATCTTCGTTCTTTACAATTCTTTGAACCACTTTCAAGCATGGCATCATCTTCATTGTCAAAGATGTTTACTGCCAAATATATTCCTCTAAAGGCCGCCGGACGACTCGTAGGAGGTGAGAAGGGCCATTAGATTTAACCGGTGCTGAACTAGAGGAAATTCCCAATGAAGTTTTTAACTTGTTTCAACTGAAGTACTTGAGTTTGAGGAGGACAGAGTTGAGAAGCATTTCCAAATCTATAGGACGTCTTCAAAACTTAGAGACACTTGATCTTAAGGAAACTTATGTGATTGAGTTGCCAGAGGAGCTCTTACAACTTTGTAAACTTCGGCATCTCCTTGTATACAGTTACCAAAGTATGCGGTTCAATCCTTGGACTAATGGTGCACAAATCTTTAATGCTCCATTTAAGATTGGGGAATTACTGTCTTTACAAAAGTTGTGTTATATACAAGCAAATGGTACTAATGTTTGTGTCCGAGATGGGAAAACTAACACAACTAAGAAGACTAGGAGTTAGAAAACTAAGACGAGAGGATGGCAAAGAATTTGTTCGTCATTGGAAAAGTTGACAAACCTTTGCTCTTTAAATCTTGGGTCGAATTCAGAGGATGAGATCCTTGATATTCAGCATCCTCTGAACGTCATTCCTCTTCGTCTTCGTACATTAAATTGATAGGGCGTTTGGAAAGAGTACCTCAATGGTTATCCTCACTTGTAGGCTTAACCACTCTATGCTTGCAATGGAATGGACTTGTTGAAGATCCATTACCATTTTTCCAAGATCTGCCCCTGTTAGCATGTCTTCAATTTTCAAAGTCTTATGAAGGGGAAGGATTGTGCTTCAAGGCCAAAAAGTTCTCAAAGCTCAAGCATCTGTGTATCCGTAACTGCGACCCACTGAAATGGATAAGAATACAGGAAGGTGCACTGCTTTATCTGGAAAAGTTTGAACTGGGAAAATGCAAATTCGTTGAGCAGATGCCAATGGGAATTGAACGTTTGTCTGATCTTAAGGTAATTACTATCTATGACTTGGCTGACAAATTCATTGCAAATTTAGACTCAGAAAGCAAACAAAGTGAAATGTATGCAAAGATATCTCACATTCCAAAAATTAAGGGGTTGTTTACTAACATGGAAAAATGGAGAATTTTCCAAAAAAATTGAGAATTGAAGAAGTGGAGGAATGGAAAATGGAAAACTTGTTTACTAAAATAATATCTCCAATTGCCTAACTCCTCTCCATTCTCCAACTTCATGTACAAATTTGGAGAAAGCCTTTTTAGACTTCTCTAATTGGAAGAATGGAGAAAATGCGGATGAACAGTAATCTTTGCGGAGGGTCGACAGTTCGAATCTAGCTGTGTGCGCTTGTTGCAGTTTCTGTCCTTACTTCAATTTTAGCTTGTTTCAGTTTTTGTCTTTACCTCAGCCTTTCGCCATCATTATTAATTATTATTATTATTATTATTATTATTATTATTATTATTATTATTATTATTATTTATTTATTTATTATTATTATTATTATCATCTTTAATAATAATAATAATAATAATAATAATAATAATAATAATATTATTATTATTATTATTATTATTATTATTATTATCATCTTTTTTGTAGAAATGTAGAAATGTTATATGGGATGATTGTATTTAATAAAATCAAAAAATTAGAGAAATTAAGAATTAGAGGAACGGAGAATGAAAATTGAAAAATTGGAGAAATGGAAAACTGGAAAAATGGAGAAGAAAAACTGGAGAAATGGAGAAATAAAAAACTGAAAATGGAAAAACAGAGAAACGAAGTAAACGACCCCTAACATTTCCCATGTCATAGAGGGTAAGAGGGAGTTTTTCTTTTTGTCTTTCTTCCCAAAAGTTTAATCCCCAATCCAAATGGGCCCCTACAGTCCGGCCGACACAGCATCTGGGAGATTAGACCTTTGCTTACTGCGCACAAGGAGCCCCCTCACTTTGAGAGGTTGCTCTCATTACCATTGGTGAGACTTGATCTTTGGTCTTTTTTCCCAAACTTCACCCATGTGACCAACTAAGCTACCAATGCAGGCGAAGTTTTTCTTTTTGTGATTTAATGTCTGGTGGTCATGAGATTTAGTATGTTGTGTTGTATATATATACTTTGTGATTTAAATTTAGTTGTTTTCTAGAGTATTAACTACTTAAAACTTTTGATTGTAATATTAATTGATGGTAGCTAGATTATCATATGATTTTATTGTATTGTCTAATACTCTTTGAATGTGTTCATCACCAAAGATTTATCCACAAGTCGTTTAGTTTGCAGCATAGGTTTTCATAATAGCCCTGTTTGGTAAAATAGTTAGTCTATCAGTTAATTTTAACTTGTTTGATCATTATTAATTGTTTGACTTGATTAAACAATCAATATAAGTGTTTGGTTAATTAGTTTTTTATAACAATTTATTGCTCCAAAATGCTAAAATTCAAAAAGCTGTTCAAAACACATTTTTCGATTAGCTTTTTTGATAAAGTCATTTTATATATAATCAGCTCTCAGCTAACAACTAATTTACCAAACAGATTTCTACAATCAACCAATACTATCAACTAATCAAATCCACTAACCCAATTAGCAAATAGCTATCAATCAACAACTATTTACCAAGCACCGTACCCCCAATATGCCACCTTTTGGGGCACAATAATTAGAGATTGCTATTATATTGTAGAGATTTTTAAGACATGATTGAATCTGTTGAATTAATTTTAAATTTCTTTTATATTTAATTTTTATTTAAATAAGTCTCTAAATATAAAATTCTGTTGTATATATTATGTATAATTTGTTATGGTCTCTTAACGGGATATATTATTAACCACTTCACAAATCATATTTAATTTTAATAACATATATACCATGTGCAGCAATACTGCCAATACAAGTCAGTTTTAGTTGTAAGTGTTTATTTGTAGTGATGCATGGCCCCTGAATGTAGTGATGCACTGTGTGTTAATTTTAATCTTAAAAGGATAACCCAGTTTGTGTTCTTCAAAAACAAAAACAAAAACAAAAACAAAACAAGAAAAGCTCAATAATTTATAATTCTAATTTAAAAAACACAGTAAATATATTAACCAAAGCAATGAATATAAGCATCGTCACATTAACAAAGTCAAAGTACAACGAAGAAGCCTTCAACACCGCAACCCAGTGAAATATATTATTTATATAATGTACCTTCAACAAAAATAATGTACTTTAAGTATAAAAATAATGTACTTTTAATATATTAAAAATATACCTGATATTTATAGTCCACACAATAATTTACCGCTTACTTATATGTGGGGCTAACATTTAAGTAGTTTGGGTAAATATGGATCTTGGGTTTAATGAAGCTGCATTTGAAATTGATAACAACTTTTTCCTTTAGTAGAGTTCATTTTTTCCATCCAGCACTAGCATCTACTTCTTGTGTAATAAGACTAATCCTAGTTAGTTATGAACTTAAAAGGATAATTAAAATTAAAATTAACAAAAGTAAAAATAAAAACACAATAGTGTATTATTCTAATTTCAAAACCACAGTAAATGTATATCCAATTGTTAGACCATGGACCATGGTTCATATTACATTATGAACCCTAGTCCAAAAATTATGCATCGGCAGTTGATACATTCTATACCTATAATTAACAGTTTCTGCACCTGTTAACAAATTGAAGACATATAACATGATAATTACGAACATATAAATATAACTACATACACATAAATAGTTAATTATAGATACAAAATATGTTAATTGTGAACACATAAGATGTTAGTTACCATGTTTTGTATTTACAGTTAACATATTATGTATTTACCATTAATAGTTTGTGTCTGTAATTATCATGTTATGTGCCTTCAATTTTTTATAGGTACAAAACCGGTTAACTATAGGTACAAAATGTCTCAATTACAAACACATAATCTAAAGGTTATTTTTAGACCAGGGTCCACAATACATGGTAGACCTGGTCTATGGTATAATTTGCCATGTACATCCATCTAAAATGTGAAATGAAGGCATATTAACCAAAGCAATGAATATAAGCATCATCAAATTAACAAACATAGTACTCGCTTTTGATTCATTATCATATAAAATAAGCTACAGATTGCATTATGGGAAACAAAGTAAAAGTACAAGGAAGAAGCCTTCAATACCACATCCCAATGAAGTCCACTGGACCTTGCACTACATACTACATAGCATGGCCTAAGCAGGGAAGGATAAACTAATTAAGCAACAAACAAAGAGGAAAAGTAGGCAGAGGGATCTAGGGTTAAAGGCCCCAATACAAAAAAAAAAAGTAGTATATGCTCTGTAATGGGAAGCTAGGGGAGTGGCCCATGATTAGAAAAAGTGAAGTAGTATAACAAACAATGTGATTTTACCTCATTTACATTTGTCTAGAGAGGAGGAGGAGGCTGATCTTTGTTGTTTTTGGAAGTTAGCTGCCCCATTTGTTCGGTAAGCTGTTCCATGTGATCCGCTTTGTTCCATCCATTTTCAACTTTCTTGGTTTCGTCGACCATAGAATCTTCTAATATGGTTGAATCCATCTGGTCAACCTCAACAGGTGGTGGACTCTGAAGAAACTTCTCCCAAAAGGAGGAGTCTAGAGGTATGTCGTCATCCATTAGGCCATTCTGCCACTCGATTTGAGGGTCAGGAGAAAATCCATCAATTTCTAAAGCCATGTTCCTATTTGTGACATCCCGTATTTTCCTAAAATAAATTAGAGTCCCGATATTAAATATTTTTACTAAAAATATTTATATAGTTATTTATCTTGAAAATGGGCTCGGGTCTATCTTGTATGGTGAACTAGTATTTTATACCCAAATGGTTTTAATCCCTAAAGCTTAGTAATTTCCTTGAGCTCAAAGTGTTTTATTATCCTAAGCCTATATGTATTATATGAGCTTTGAACGCAACTAGTCAAACCCATATGTTGATATGAGTATATGTGTTACTATTTTGAAAGCCCAAAATATATTTATATATTTTGTATGATCCTTGATCCAAAAGAATTACCCAACCCAAGTGTGATCTTGAACCTTGACCCAACCCAAGTCTAGCCTAAGCCCAACTAATATCCTTGGCCTACTAAATATAGCCTATAGTGTATATGTGTATGTGTATCTTGTTCCCTAAAACCTAGCAGCCAAACACCCTCCACTTTCCTTGTTTCTTCTGTCCGAAACCAGCGAACAATTTCCCCTACCCCTCTCGTTTCTTCTTCGAGGTGAACCGACAAGCAACGCACACCACCATCCTTCCTCTCCTTTTCCCTAGCTACGGCGTGACCAGTCAGAACCAGCATACGAGAAAAGCAGCAACGTTAACTCCGGTCTCTCTTTCTCCTTCGGATTTCCGGCGAAGTCAGGTAAGCTAGGTTCGTGGTGGCGGCTTGGGTCTCCGGTGCGGGCAGAGCATCAACGTTTCCGGTGAGCTTCTCCTCCGGCAGTGATGACTCGGGGAGTCCATAGAAGCTTCCGGCAGCTCTTGGCGGTGGAGGTGTGTCACGGCGGCGGAGCTACGCGGAGGCTGTGTTCCTTTATCTCGTCGTCGGCGGTGCTCTCCGGTGAGGTGGTGATACTCCGTCGTGGCAGCTAGCAAAGGGAGGATAGCGGGTGGTGGTAGTACCCGTGTTCCACCCGCGGGTGCAACTTCTTGAAGAAGACGAAGAAGAAGATGGTGAGCTGCTCCTTTCTTTGATTGTTGTTAATTATTTAGTGTTAAATAGTTTTAGTGTTGTTTAGGTAATAAGAATCATCCTAGACTAGTTGGTTAAGCTTGTGGTTTATTAATGATGATGAAGCTAGGGTTCAAATCCTTAGTTTGGTTTAGTTTTAATGCTTGGCTTTGTTTAGTGTTTAATTAATTAATGTTGCGTAGGGATAATTAAGTAGTTTTAATGCTTGGCTTTGTTTAGTGTTTAATTAATTAATGTTGCGTAGGGATAATTAAGTGAGCTCTTAGCTTAGTGGTAAGAGGGGTGGTTATGTTTGTTGTTGGTTCGAGTTTAATCCCCACCTTAGCTAATTAATTAAGTTGTTAGCTTTATTTATTAATCCTATCCCTTAAGCTTGGTTACTAATTATTAGAACAATAATGTTGTGATTAAATTAATAATAGGATGCTTAGCCTAGATGGTTGAGCTTGTGGGTAATTTAGAGTTGAATTATAGGTTAAATCCCCTTAGAAACCTAATTAGTTTTAATTAGTACTTGTGTTAATAGTTGAGATCCGGTTTAATTCTTAGGTTCCCGTTTGGCTTATGAGTTGAGCCTAGTCTATGTTGGCATTGTTTTGGATGTTAAGCGAATGAGGTAACTCATGCTCTACAAAATATATTTTGCTTACCTATGTGATGATTTCTTGGATTTTACATGTGTTTTGCTATGAAATGTGAGTGTTTATGCATTGTCTTGTGAAAATGCATATCTAGAGCTTGCGTTTAGGGTTCTTGTATGCCACTGTTTGGCTATTCCTTTGATTCAAGTCATTTTGTTGTATTTGGTGAGATTTGGCATGTTTTGGACTTGAATTTGAGCTTGGAGTTGAAAATCCCCGAAGGGATTATTTTGGGCACATGTATGTACCCACGGGCGGAACGACGGGTAGAGCTCCACCCGCCGCCCACCCGCGGGGAACATATGGCCGGTGGGTGTGTACCCGCGGGTAGAACCACGGGTGGGGGCCTACCCGTGGGTCCACCCGCGGGGAACATGATGTGGTTGGTTGGGGATTTGTTCCTCGTGATTCTTTTGACTCGGTATTTGGTCTTTTGACTTCCCGATGTTCTTTTGTGGAACTATTTGAGCGTTTTCTTGATGTTTCGTATATCTAGAACTATATGGTAGGAATCCATGTAGGTTTTGGTGTCTGGAATCGTGCTAAGTGTTCAACATTGTGTTTCGTTGAACCGTGATGAGTCTTGTGTGTTCTTCAGAACTACGTTTGGTTTACCCGTTTGATAAGCATGCTAGTTCGGTGTTTAAATGCTAGCTTGTGTGTTGTTTGTACCTTCCTATTGGTTGATGATGACTTGTATTATTCATCGTTGTCGTTGGACTGTGATCCATTCCTTGATTGAATATGGTTTCATATCTTTGTTGTGATCCGTTGATTGATTTCTGTTGAGGCGTGATATGTGTGGCTTTACTTGGATTGCACGATTAGTGGTATGGGACACTAGTCACCAAGGTATTGCAGTGGTCCTCGTGGTGGCCATGACGTGATTATGGAGTTGTGACCTTTGTGTAAGGTTCACGTATTTCTTGGGAGGCATGTGTTGCCGTGTATGTGATCGGTACCCTCGTGTACTATGAAATCGGTGGTTCTGTTGGAGGGACTGTTGGAGGGGGAACGACGGTTCTCGGAGGAATAAGGTTGGACTTGGTGTACAGGGGTCCTGGAGGTAAAGGTTGGAACTAGATATAAGGTTGGGGTTAGCCATAAGGTTGGAACCGGGCATAAGGAAGACATATCAACTTGTGATGGGTGATGTCACGAGGGCTTGTGTAGCCGTTGTTGTGAGTTCTCTTCTTGTGACGTGTGTAGTTACAAAGGCATGTGTTGCCGTTGGGTGTGTCCTTATTCTTTTGAGTTATGCATGTCGGGTGTTAATATATTGTATGATGATAGATTATACCTTGGGCCGTCCTTGCGAGTCGTTGTTGTCCTTTGTGGTATTGGGATGTGTTCCCTTATCTTGTTGTGAGTGCTTTGAGTCTTGTGTTGACCTTTGCTCTTGGTTTTGAACTTATATATATGTATTCTGTTTCGCAAATGAATTTGTATATATATATATATATATATATATATATATATATATATATATATATATATATATATATATATATATATATATCTTACCTATGTATGATATTTCACATGTATTGGTGGGTTACCAGCATTATTCGCTGACCGGGCGTCGTCCCATTTCTATTTGTTGCTTTACAGGTTGGGTAGCTTTGGAGAGCGCGCTAGTGGCCTGTAGATAGATTATCTCTTCCTTTAATAGTTGTTGAGGCCTGTGAGCCCAAGTAGTTGATTCGTTAGATTGTTGTAGTTGTAGTATCTGCCTGTGCACCTATGTTTGATATAGGTGTGGCGTAGCACCTTCCGGTTTGTTTAGTTAGCTTTCGCCTTGTTTAATCTTAATGAGTAGACTTTATCCCTTTTCTAAGCTTTAATTGGTTTTAAAAGTTGTTGAAAATCGGGGGTGTTACAGTTGGTATCAGAGCCTAGGTTTGAGCCTATGATGTTAAGTGTTGGACCTTAAGAACCTAAGTTGAGCTTAGGTTAGTGCTGTAAGTTGAGACCTTAAGATGTTTAGTGAAGCCTCTAAGTGTTTAAGTACCTAAGTTTAAGATTCTTATGACGCGCAGTGAGGTTGTGTGTTACCTTTTGTATCTGTGTAGTTCTCTTATCTTGTTTTGTTGTTTAGTGTTAGTAGTTTTAGTTGTTGCTATCGGTTGGTGTGAACCTTTTCGGTAAGTCGCCTCGTTCTGGGTTCGTTAAAGTCTTGACGAAGACTGTGTCCAAGGGTAAGAAGACCGAAGATCTGCTGACACAAGTTAGTCAAGGCGTGGTGGTTGCAGCTGGGCACGTGGTCAACGCAAAGAAGATGGACTACTCTACACGCAACCGGGAGTTAGCTACAACAATCCTCATTAAAGCAAGTTACATCGTCTCTCGTACGACATCGTCATCAAGTTCTACGCTAATCCTAGAGTTGAAGTTTATCTTTCATGCAACCGTAGTCCGATAAGAAGTAAGACGTCGTTTAGAGTTCGAAGATCAAATTTAGAAGACCCTCACTCGTGAAGGGACGTCAAGAACGGTCCCAGACGCTCTAAGAAGATGTCAACTTACGCCAAGGGATCGTTCTTGGGTCAACGTGTTTGAAGCCTCTCAGAGTTAAAGAGCTACAAGTCAACCTTGAACCTTTCTAAAACGCGAAGAGTTAAAGTGTAGGTTCGAGGTGTTCAACATAGAAGTAGTTCTACCTATCCTTGAAGAAATCAAGATCAAGATGGCCATACATGAAAAGCTTGGACCCCTCAGGTACATGGAAGAGAAGAACATCGTTGCTAGCAAGTCGTCTGACCCGGTGAAACGTGAAGTGGTTGAGTAGTAGTTAGTGAACGAGGGTAGCGTTTATCCTATGCGACACACTTGGAAAGTTATGTCTAGCATGAAGACTTTTCGTAAGAAGGTTTGGCAACAAGAAGGAATGAAGCCGTAACCAAGTTGCAGACAATCGTTGGGGCCATCAGAAGACTCAAACCGACAAGAGCAAAGCAAAGACAGATCTGAACACCGAGTGTTCTTAAGTTGCAAGTGAGACGCGGTGCCGAAGAGTCCTGGTAAGAGATCTACCTAAAACAAGGAAGGAACGAGAAGTAGCTAATCTTGTATGGGAAGTTTGAACACTAAAAGGAAGGACAGTCAGAGATCAACCTAAAGACCGATTCTACCGTTAGACCTTCATAAGTAAGACATGCTCGTGCGGCAACAAAGTTTTCAGGGAAAGACCTACCGTTAATCAAGACAAGAAAATACCAAGTGGTTGTAACAGACTACCGTATGAAGATTGCAAGGTTATCAATAGTGTACAAGACTCGACCTACTGAGCTTTTAGTAAGGATCTGAGCAAATCTTGGG